AAACACAATAAAGTGAAAGACAAAAAGTCCAAAAGGTGTTTCTACTCTCCCTTTTTACACACACACCAAAACAAAGACATCAGATCATGAAATAATCATTTAAAGAGGAATTATGAGCTAAATCAGTAAATATTTTATAAATGAATAAATGATTCTACAGCATATTATGTTACATATATTATAAATAAAGTATTTTTGCGTTAATTGTTGATTTGGGAAGTGTTTTTCTTTGGGCTGTAAAAAGTCCCTCCACTTTCATTTTTCAAACCAGCTGCCAGAATAGCAGTCAATGGTCAAGTCAGATAGCACAATCACAGGAAGTCACACACAGCTCTCCAAAATAAAAGCTGACAATTATTTTCTTGCCCAACAAATCAGTAGAGTCCCAAGTTTACTGAACGAATGAGTGTTTGTGTGTGATACAAATATACTGTAGACACATTACAGACAGATCACAGGAAATGCAGAGTGTTTGTAAATTATCCACTCTAATGTTATAACCTGAAATGCTTTTATTTTGAGGCAGCATCTCATCTACTGTATTACAGTTTATGTTGATTTTGTCTGACAGCTGACGTCAGCCTCGTTTTATGCTGTTTGTGAAGCATCACTGATGATGCAACGCTGTGATGTCACCCACTCATTTTTTTTACGTATGACTTTATAGTATCTGGAGGGGATCTTTAAAGTACCAAAAGTAAAAGTGCAACATAGTCAGTTTTACAATATTACTGTATATTATATTACTGGATTATAATAATTGATAGATGAATGTGTTCATTAATGTTGCAGCTGGTAAAGGCGGGGCTCATTCTAATGACTATATACTGCTGGTATAGGTTAATTTATTATAATTAATCAATTTAGGCCTATGAGTTGATTTCAAAAGGATGGATTTAAGGAAGGAAGGATTTAATAATTAATATTTAAGGAAGGAAGGATTTAATAACGTTAGCTATCACTACATAAACGTTGTATAATTATTCATTAAAAATGATTCCGGCAATTTCACTGGTGTAGCGAGGAAACTGGGTGTGCTTGACATCATAGAAATGCATCACAAGACTGTGGTGTGCTGCTATTAGAGGGTCACTTAGTGAACAGCACAAATCACATGGAATCTGATCTTTTCCATTCTCATTCATTTCATATGTGGTCCCAATCAGATACAGGTCTGACTTTGTGACCTCAAGGGGAACTGAATTCAGTGTGGACTTGAGCTTACATTCTGTGGGAAGGAGACAGGGTCTCCAAAGTACTGCTATTGTGAGGAAAAAACGAAAGCCTCTTAGCCTAAATGCATTTATTTTGTTTCATTTATATCTCAAATATGAACATTGTGTTACTGATGAGGTAAAAAACGCCTCATTATGGAAAATGACAGAATCTGATATGTGCCACATTAAAAAAGTAATGTACGCAGCCACACACAAAAAAAGAGCAACAAATCTGAATTGAGCGCTAAGGCTTGCAGTGTGAACGCAGCCTTAGAGACTCCTTTGTGCCTGTCAGTTCTAAACACCTAACACAACTCTCAAATGCTAAATTAAGGCGTTATCCTGAAGTACCAAAAGGTGATCTTTTTTTAAATTAAATAAAGATAATAATTATAATTTATTAATGATAATCCTAATTTTAATCTTTGTGTAATTATTATCCAAAATGTTGAGTAAAGGTTTTAATAAATATTACATAAATAATAAAAGATCAATTAAAAAGAATACAATTAAGAACTATAGTTCTTAGTGTTCTGTTGTTTTTGTTGTTTATTCTGTAAAATCACTTTGTAAACCCAATTTTGAAAGGTGCTGTATAAATAAAGTTGATTATTATTAATTATTAATTAATTGACAACAACTATAAAAGCACCTATCATACAAAAGACACAAGATACAACAGGTACCAACAGAAGCAGAATGGTTTTCAATCATGGATTTAATTTCACTAAGGGGTACCACTCACTTTTACTTTGTAAAGAATTCCTGCATACAGACTAAAAGCAGATCTATCCTGCTTTAAATCTCCTCACATGTCACTTTGCAGAATGTACACATAGGACTTTAAACTCTACATACAAACAAACCTGTTCAAACAGTGACCAAAGTAAATCCATAACCAAAGTCCACTTCTAATAAGTGAACAGATCCTGTCATCAACATGTCTGTGAGTATCAAGATGACTTATTTTACAACTAATAGACTTTACGGACTGTAAAGAATACGACAGGAAGTAACAAGTACAATGTGAGAAGGTGTGAGAACGGACTTTGAACTTCACTGCAGTTTCATTAGTTTCAGTGTCCTGCAATAGTTAGTTTCCTGTTTCAGACGCTACAGGCTTTAGGAATTTCTTGTGCATGAACATGGTCAAACTCTTTAGCTGCTTGAATCAAAGAATAACGACACTGGCAGGGACGTCACTGGGAGCTTTCAACATTCCTTTTTTTGGTGAAATAGTGTGACACACAAGGACACAGGAGAGTCTAATGTGCTGACACTTTTGGTCCACAGGGTCCGGTCAGCATGGAGCTGTCTCCCCCTCCCTCTGGTCTAGAAGCAGAGCATGAGACCCTCTTCACCACCGACTCCCTCCTCTTCCTCCATGAGCTGATCTCCACATTTGATGAGGAGGTGGATGAGGTAGGCTGGCTGAAAAAGCGCTTTTTATTGAATAAGTTCAATTCAAGTTATCTGCTCTACTCTGCTCTGTTCAGGTCCTGAGGTTGCGAGTGTCCAGAAAGTCCCACTTGGACCTTTCAGGTGACCTGCCAAGCTTTCCGGACAGTACCAGACACATCAGGAGAGAGGCGGCCTGGAGGGTGCTCCCTGTCCCCCCAAGGCTCCAGAGAAGACATGTGGATATTGGGGATCTGGCTCCCTGCGATACTCAGCGCTTCATTAAATCTCTCCTGTCACCAGCACAAGGCATACAGGTACCCCCTCAATTACTCACCTGTGAGCATACCACACCAGCACGATAACTCTGTATTCTATGCTCTAATGTTTGGTCATGAAATGCCTTAATATAATTATTAATTTAGGAGTACACTTACATGCAGTGAGTAATCTGACCATACTTCAGATAAGGTCATATTAAACTTGTGAAGTGAAGTTATAGATTGCATCCAAATGAATACAGCTCGCATTCCACATGGCAGAAATACTTTTTTATTTATATTCAAGTGATTATACACNNATTTCTGACAATAGATCCTACTGAATGTTACACACTACACCAGCAGAGCAAGCAGCAGAGCAAGCTGAAAACATAACTTTAATTTGTCTAATATTTTGGTTTACCATAATGCTGTACTTTGTGTACAAATGTTAGCACACTGACATGCTTAACCAAGATGGTGAATGGGGTATTGGGAGTACTAAACAAGTAAAATGTGCCAACACCTGTATTTGTAAATACTGATATAGCAACTTTTATAAAGAGAACTTGTTCTGTTAATCATTCTCTTATGATTCAATTCAATTCAATTTTATTTGTATAGCGCCAATTCATAACAGTTATCTCAGGACACTTTTCAAATTCAATAGAGCAGGTCTAGACCCGAACTCCTTATAAACATTTACAGAGACCCAACAAGTACCACCATGAGCAAGACTTGGCGACGGGGGCAAGGAAAAACTGTCTTTTAAGAGGTGGGGTGGTCGTCTGCCTCAACCAGTTGGGGAAGAGGGAGCTCAGTGCATCATGGGAAATCCCCCGATAGTCTAGGCCTGTAGCAGCATAACTAAGGGATAGTTCAGGACTCACCTGATCCAGCCCTAACTATAAGCTTTATCAAAGAGGAACGTCTTAAGCCTACTCTTAAATGTGGAGAGGGTGTCTCCTCCAGAACCACAACTGGAAGCTGGTTCCACAGGAGAGGAGCTTGGTAACTGAAGGCTCTGGCTAGAGAC